CATACTTCACTTGGCATTTCTATGCTTCCAGACCGCTGGCGGGCTATACATTTGGCTAATGGGAAGTATGTTAAATAAAGTATAACATAACCAAATATCAGCCAAATAACTTGTGTGGTTTTTGAAATATTCAAAAAATAAAATATTTTTCTCATTTCGGGTATATATGATTTGACCTATGTAATAAATTAATTTTATTTTTGATTAACCAAAAACTGTACTGTATATTATATTATAAATGTATACTTTATATAATTGCAATTGGGAAATATTAGATTATCATTATCTCGATATTACATATAATAAGTACTGTATCTCACAACCCTTTTAATACTAAATCAAATACAGAACATTGATAACCACTGTACTATATACTAAAATATAGTATTTTGATATGAGTTCATAAAAACTTTATCAAAATTTCTTACATTTACCTTAACTTCTAAAAGGTTTTATATATCATAAAAAATTATCTCTTAAACGAATTGAACGAACGAAATAAACAAACATTTGTAAAAAATGTATAAAAAGTGTTTACAATAGAAACAATAGTAGTTTATAAGAATGTGTTGTATTCAATATGTCTCACAATTATTAACTGAGTTTTAAATCAGGTTTTTATAAATTGTTCATTTGATTTGATTATTTAAATGAAAGTTTTGCAAACTGGTATTTTCATAAATTTTAATTATAATTAATTGTAAGTAATTTTATCATTAATACTCGTATTAAAATCCTAATTTATAATGTTAAATTCATAATTTTCATTTTTAAGTTATATTAATTTTATTTGATAGTAATGGTGTATTTATTAAATGATGTAAATATCTGTAGCACTAACATCAAATTTAAATGATATTTAGAAGTTTTTAATTAAAAATATAAGTAACACTGAATTGTAGGATTATAAAATTTATTTTCATAACATATAAAATGGATTTTAAATTTCATAGTTAAGTGATGAATGAATATCGTGAATGTAGTGTTTGTGGCGCCAATAACAGGGATAACCCGGATATACGACTTGGTAGTTATTTTTAAAAAATTATCATTAATCATTAAATAATTAAAATTTGTTTTTGGGCTATTCTTAACTAGGTGAGAACTATGTACGCAAAGGGAGTGGTACTTACACGTGCGAGAAAGACAGACAATTTTTTATTAAAAACATTAATCTAAAAAGCAAGGTAAATCCATAAGATTAGATTTGTAATATAAAACAATATAAAAATTATATTTGACCACGATCATATTATGTGAATCAATACTTTTGCCATGGCAGATGAAATAACTGTCTAACATTCACTGTTTGATATACAATAGAAAAAGTGTCAGGGTCAGGACATAGGACCAAACGATGAGGAGAATCATAATATAAAAGATTGTGGGCCATGTCGACTTCACAAGTGTATTAGGATCGGGATGAGACAGGTGTGCGAGTTGTGTTTACTTGAGATTTTAATCAATGATTTATTTCATGCATAGAAACACAAACCACAAGATATGCCACAAAACAGCTCCACTCATACGAAACGTCAGAGAAATAACACGACCGACACGTCGGCCTTTGATTTAATGAAATGGCCATCTAATAGCCTTGGAAATGGCCAGGGTCACTCAGCAACTATTAATGGTTTTAACAGACACCCGACACAATCATTCCCGCCGTCCCTCAATGCAGACACGCATAATAATTTCGAGGAAACTCAGTTGTCAAAGTGTAATGACCAGGGTTATCAAACAACAAATTATACACCTGTACAACTAATGAATACTGGTAATACACAACCAGTTTATGATAACCAATATAAATCCAATTTAATTGCAAACAATGGTTATAATTTTGGCGCGAATTCTACGGGTAATCGCAACAACAGTATGAACACATCGTTCAATCAACCAAACCTAACACATACATCGGAAGCACAGACTGGATGGCCATATACTGAACCCCTAACGCTAAGTTACGGGACATCCATTTCAGTCAATTCGTTTGAAAGTACTTCCAGTCCTTTGGTTACCGATACTATTAATACGGATAATAACGTAATATACCCTGTTTTCCAAGACTTAGTGGATCTCGAGTCGCCAACTAATGAAGGAACAGTAGGCCAGGAACTGGAATATACGTATATAAACGGAGCCCTTCCTCAACAACAACCCCAACAATCAGCCAATACTTCAACGGCAGTCGAGTCCTATGAGACAGGACTCGCATCCCAACCCAATGTCTACAATAATATAATAGTGAATCAGTCGAACGACTTGCACAATAATATTGTCTACGATATGATTCACACGTTAATTAATAAAATTAACCTTGGTTTGATTGTAGCTTCTGACGCAGATCCATTATTAGTCAAAATGAAAGCAAGTCAAATTATTATATTAATATAGTTTTTAATATTAAATATTTATTTGTAACGTAATTATTATAACTAAACTAATAGGAAATTGAAGGTTTTGAGAATAAAGCGAAATTAATGACCAAGGAAATAGTGGATGAGTTAATGCAAAAGGGTCCAGGCCGGTTCAAGCAGTTGTTGGATACGGCTGGACTGCACCGGGAGGCCGAGGCTGTTGTCAAGATGTTCATAATGAAGGAGCCCTGGGAGTGCACCACTGATGTCGAGTTAAATATGATAAAAGCACCTAAACTGCGATCAGGAGACTCACGATATTTCCAAATGAATTCCCATCCGAGGGGTCGGGCCATCATATTTGCGGCCACAGATGGCCTGGACGTCGAGATATTGAGATGGAGATCCATTTTCGCACAGTTAGACTTCAAGTGTGAGGTATATGCGGACTCCACATGCTCTGAGATCAAGGATAAGCTGTTGGGGGTGTCGTGTCAGCGATTCGTCGCCGACGCCCTCTTTGTGATGGTTATCGGCGGCGGATATGACGAGAAGGTCTGCGGTTTCGGCGATCGTCGCGACAATGAGATGTCGTTCACAGAAATTGTGGACATATTCTCCGCTAATAATGTTAAGAGTGATGTGTCTCTTAGGATGAAACCGAAAATATTTGTTTTCAACACTTTCTCTATTGGTTTGTATTTTATTTTATATATATTTAATTGAGAGTGAGAGAGATCTAATATTATTCATGTATTCACTTTTAGAAACTTATCAACCAATTGAAAATATCCGAATGAATCTGAATTCGAATAATAATAGAAGCTATGTCATTTATTCACATTCTAAATGTATGTACTGTATTATGCGTCCATTAAGTTATTGAGTTTTTGTATAAACCACCAGGATATACATACAGTATAATAACTTTGTTTAAAATTTAGTTAAGAATACATGGCGTTACCCCAATGAAAGTATAACACTATTTGGACAGGCATTCAGTTATTCAATCGCACAGTATGCGTGCAATTATCACCTTACTAATTTAGTTGGAAAGGTATATTATGATATTCAAATAACTAGATAACAATTTAATTTATTAAATCTAATAATTGTATAGACGGTGAAACGACTGACGGATGAGCATGGTGAAAATCATCCACAAATAATCCTGAACTCGGTAGACATGACACGAGATATATATTTCAATCCTGGTTTTTAAAATACAACAAAATTCGCTACATATAAGTGCCATGTATTTTATAAAAATTGTAACTTATAACTTATTTAAAATTCAATGTTTTATAATAAAACTCATATTAAATGATAATTTAATTGGAAAACCAATTCAAAGAATACTTTGAAATGATTTATTAGATCCTAAATCTCTTGAATAGATCCCAACTTATAATTATTAATGATGTGATTCCTGGTCACCCCTCCCATCCCTAACAATAATCTCGGCTTAGGATCGTGAAAGCAAAAGTTAATAATCTTGGTATATTTACTATTTTTGTGATCAGATAATAACGTGAAACAATAATATTGATAATTG